CTCTCTCTCTCTCTCTCTCTCTCTCTCTCTCTCTCATAAAATAAAGAGTCTATAAAGACAAAGGAGGTACAAAGTTTTTTTATAAACTGAATATTCTCTAAGTATCCAGAACTCAGAATGACTTCCCTGAGGGACACTGGTATAGAAAAAAATGGTCATTTTTTCCTTCTGATTCTCTGTCCCCAAGACTAGGTTATAAATCAAGTGATAAAGTTTTTATTATTCTTCCTTTAATTCTTTTGCCAACCTCCACTTATCTTTTCCTTAATTCAAGTTTTATCCAAAGCCTAAGACTACAGGATCTGTCTTGGTTAGGTTCCTACAGTTTTCAAAACATTAAACCATGTTGGGGAAGGCTGGCGGGTGGTGCAGTGGTGAAGGGTCAGGCAAGTGTGCATGCATACGTAAAATCCCAAGAGGAGACTGGAGGAGAAGGGATTGCAATGTGGCCATCTGACTTGGAGGGGTGTTCTCATATTCCTCCCAACACTTGACTCTCTGGCAAGCACACTAACTCTCTAGATAAATAAATATATTAGTAAGTATTTTTTTATAAAGAGAATAGAATTCAGCTCATGGTTAGAGACCCAAGGTCCAGGAACTATTTTCCAGTAAGGCTACAAAATGGTGGTGGGCACTCTCTCAAGCAGTGGCTGTCCATAAGTTTCTCCTCATTCTGGTCTCCATCCGTGTGGTCTCGAACTGCCTCATCCCCTCTCCTTGTAGACACAACAGAACTCAATCACAGGAGCTCCACCCTGGAGAGTTTATCTTACCCAATGCATCATTTGGAAAAAGACCTTGAGGAGGTAAAATTCTCACTTAACATAACAGTACAGCCATGGCTCAACACATGATATTTTGGGAAACACCCACTCACCATTCACCAAGACTAAATTCCAAAATGTGGAAATTTAGGGGAAAAACCATTATCTGGAAGATACCAAGCAGTTAAGGTGACAATACAGAAAATAAAATTGTGTGTTAAGCATGATGTGTGTGATAATGTCTTTGGACTAATGTGTACTGTATTCATGCTGGGAGAATTCCTTTTGTATGCCTCAAAATATACAGTAATGAAATGTAAGTAAAACAAACAAAAATAAATTAAAAATTATTTTAAAAGAAAATAATTATGGAAGCATAAGCAAAAATCTATAGTCTCAGATGTTCTCATACTAAAAAGTTATCTAGATGCTCTTAGTTACCAAGTGTAGTATTTTCCATATGAATAGTACAATTGTAGGGGCTGGCAGGTGGCAGGGTGGTAAAGGTGCAGATCTCTCACATAGCCAACCACAGTTCAAGTTCTGGACCTGGAGGCCTATTTTCTCACTTTCCCTCTCTCTTTCTCTCTTTGGTCAAATTAAAAATGAATCAATGATTTAAAAAATAAATAAAGAGAATAGTACAATTGTCAAATATTTCTTCAGTAAAATTTAAGAAAAAGGAAAACAGTGCAATCACACAAGCTTCTTGAGAACTATCCCTGTAAGAAAGAACACTTTTATTGAGAAAAAATTCACATACCAGAAATTCATGTTCTTCCATGTCATGAATGGGAGTTTGTAAATATTTCTGATCCAAGATTGGGAAAAACTGTGAGAATTTAGGAAAAGAACAGTGGAAAAAATTCTTAGACAATGGAAAGAAAAGAAAAGAAAGCATAGTAAAATGAGTTGTTCAACTGGCATAGAGGAAAGACAAAGAAATAGAAATTACAAGAAATAAATCCAAGGAGCAAGTTTTACTTCCACAATCTCAATTTTCTGCTCCAAGGCTTTGAGTCCCACGTTCATGGGATCTTCAGTCTCTGTTCAATTGACCTTTTCATAGTTTCCCTCCCAGAGTTTCTTTAAGAGCCCTCTTTATGTCTTTATTCCTCAGACTGTAGATGAAGGGGTTCAGCATCGGGGTGACCACAGTGTACATCACTGATGCTGTTGCACTCGAGTGTGAGCTGTGGGTAGCAGCAGAACTAAGGTACACACCCATGCTTGTACAATAAAATAAGGAGACAACTGAGAGTTGAGAGGCACAGGTGGAAAATGCTTTGTACTTTCCCTGAGTTGATGAGATTGCACGAATGGAGGAAACAATCTTAGAGTAAGAGTAAAGGATTCCAGCGAGAGGACAACCGGCCAGAAACACTGCTGCAAGATAGATCACCATGTCATTAAGAAAGGTGTCAGAACAGGCAAGGTGGACCACTTGATTAAGTTCACAAAGGAAGTGGGGAATTTCCAAGTGTGCACAGAAGGACAGCCGCAGCACCATCACACTTTGTAACAAAGAGTGCAGGGCACTGATAATGCCAGAGGCCAGAACCAACTGTCCACACAGCTGGGGGCTCATGATGACTGTGTAGTGGAGGGGGTGACAGATGGCCACGAACCGGTCATAGGCCATCACCATTAGGAGAAAGTCATCCAACCCTGCTAAAAACAATAAGAAGTACATCTGGGTGATGCAACCTGCATAAGTAATACCTTTGCTCTGTGTCTGGATGTTCACTAGCATCTTTGGGATGCTTGTGGAGGTGAAACAGATGTCCGCAAAGGAGAGAATGGAGAGGAAGAAGTACATGGGTGTGTGCAAGTGGGAGTCTGAGATGGTGAGCAGAATGATGAGCAGGTTTCCAAATACAGTGATCAGATACATGGAAAGAAAAATCCCATATATGACGGACTGCATTTCTGGTTGTTCTGAAAATCCCCAAAGAAGAAATTTTGAAATTCGTGTTTCATTTCCTTTTTCCATGAAGTGGAGATGACTACAACAGAGAGAAAAATAACAAGACTAATTTTCATAGAGGTGGATATTACATCGCTGAAATTTCACAATTTGTGTTTTATAATTAGTAAATTCATTTTTTTATGTTTTCTGTGTGAATTTGGTTCTGGTTTTTAGGATTTCCCTGTTCTATTTCATTACTTATTTCTATCCATCTTCAGCCTCTTTCCCATAGGTCATTATTTTATAGATTTAATAAGAATTTTTTTCATGCTTTTGAGGAATATATATTTAATTCCAACCATGGTCCAGACACTGTCTAAGAAATCAGTAGAGGGTGCTAAAAAAAACCCTAAAAACTGGTAGAACCTGATGATGGAGAAATATATATATATATATATATATATATATATATATATATGTAAAGTAATAATTGTAACATGTGAGATTATGACAACCATTTTTTTGGAGAGGTTTTTGCTATAGGGTGAGTGTGCGTGCCAGAAAAACAGAGAGAGAAAGAGATAGAAAGTGAGAAATCAACCCCCAGGGGGGATGGTCATGCCACAATCCCTTCTCCTCCATTCTCCTCTCGAGATCTCGGGCACACACACACACATGCCCGGCATGAGTTTAAGCCACCAGATCCAGGACTCGAACCACAGTAGGCTACATGGGAGCTCAGTGACATAGCCATTACGCTAACTGCTGGTCCCATGACAACCATTCTAACAAAAACAAAACATGTTAATGTGCTGGATCCCACATAGCCAACTCTGTGTCAAGTCTCAAACCTAGCAGGTTAAAAAACAAGCTGGGTATGTGCATGCATGTGGACAATGAAAAGAAGGGAGTGCTGCATGGTCGTCCCCTCAGAGGGATGATTTCTCACTCCTTCCCATCTTTCCCCCCAATAAAGGCACATACCCTACAGCAAACTAAAAATAAAATAAAATAAAATTTAATTAATTAAGTAAATAAAAATACTGCAATTCTAAAGCAGCTATGCATATGCATCTATGGTAGATGGTAAATATGAAAAACATATTTAACATATATATAATCAGTTGAGAAAAATAAAGTAGATATGATATCAATGAATATGTAACCCTGAAGCAAGCTTGCTAAGTAATAACATTTTATAGGATAATACATATACGTTTTTATTTAAAAGCTTGACCTGGCTCAGGGATTAAATCACATTCCTACATTTACTAATAAGAGATCTTAAATTAAAAAAAACTAACCCAAGCTCAGATTCACCTTTGAAAATTAGAAACATGATAATCATGATTTATTGTGGTGATAATAGAGTAGAATCATAAGTAGTAAAAGTATTTCTCTTACTCCTATAAAAAAAAGGAAGAAAACCTCCCAAGTATTTTTATATATTAGAGAAATTCTTATGAAACAACATATGAATACAGAATAACACTAAATCACATTATAATAATCATTTTTCCTCATCTAAATTAAGAGTCTGAGTTAATAGGAACAGACAAGAGATAACCATTTCAATATATAGGATAACTGACCTAAGGAGACAGAAATCAGTGTAGTATCTGCCCCAGGAGACCAGACTGGAAACCGGCACAAAGGCACTTTCTGGGGTGATAGGAATGCTCTGTCCTCACTGGGGTGTTAGTAACAATGCATCCGTTTGCCAAAACTCATAGAAGTCAAGAGACATGGACACTGTTCTCTCTATAATTATACTTCAATGGAAAAAAGATAATACGTAAGTAAATTAAATACTAGGATATAATTAGAGTTGTATAATATGGAACATACCTACTGTCATCAGAACGAGGATATGCTCAAATCTGAATGAGTGGCAACTTTAATAGACAACTGATGTAATCACTAACTACTCACTTCAAAATGTCTTCACATCAAATACTACTAAAAATGAAATGTTAACAATTATTTTCTGGTAAAGTATAAGTAATTATTTATTGGTAAAAAATTATTTATACTCAATATCCCATAACAGATCAATTTTTTTTATTTACTCAACAGTACGTTCAGCAACCAACTCATCACAACAGATTAACTAGGAAGCTAAATTGCTTAAGATCAGAAAGATATCAAACAAAAAATGGACTAAAACTGTTAGCACTGACAAGCTAATATTTGAGCATTTATAATGTGCCAAGAACTGTCCTAAATGCTGCCCCCATATTAAGTTATTTATTCCTCCCAGGAACCTCCAGAAGTAGGAACTCTTACTATTCCCATCTTACAAATGAAGAAACTGAGGCACCCTATGAAAGGTTAAGTATTCTGCTGAAATCATACAGGTCTAACTCTGGCGGTATGACTTTAGAGACAATTTTCTTAATCGCACTGTTCCATTAGCTCTGTAGAATCAGTTGTCTTAAAATCTTCTAGGCTGAAATAAAGGTTGTGCTCTATAATTTGAATTCTGGAGTCTTTACCAGTTACTTATCTGTTTATATTGTACAGCTCCAGAACAGTTTTTGGGTGTGCTTGAAAAAACTCAAGAGGCCTAACACAAGAATACCAGACGACCCATGTGTCTGTATGATTAGGCGTCTCTATTTTTAAAGTATAACTTTATGGTCTGCTTATTTGAATTCTGAGTGAGAGATTCTAATCTTATTTCTCACCATAGCATACCTGGAAGAAGAGCTCTATATAATATGGGATCAGACAGCATTCCCTGATGACAAGCACTAATAATAAAGTTCTGCATTTCAAAGTAATAATACTTTTTTCAATAAGTTGACAGGTGGACCCAAACAAATAAGGTCCAAATACAATTTCAAATATTATATACAGTTTGAGTATTTCTAATCCAAAACTCCTAAATCCAAAGTCTAAAATGTTTTGAGTATCTACATAATGCCACAAGGTTATGGCTGTGATCTTGTGTCTTTCTTTGTTTCTCTCTCTCTCTCTCTCTCTCTCTCTCTCTCTCTCTCTCTCTCTCCATGAGTGCATGTGCCCTATAGGAAAATTAGATGATGATAAATAAATTAATTAAATTAAGTAAATAATTCTAAAAATAAGAGAGAATTTTGTTCCTAGTAGAAAGTAATGGCAAAACTGGAAAAGACAAATATACTAATTATCCTCATTTAGTCACTACACATTCCCTTTTTAAAAAAAAAAAGTTGGTGTAGGGTGAGAATTCTCATTGGAGAATGATGGGGAGGGTAGTGACAAAGTGCTCACCAAAGGTGAGGGCCATGCTGCAATCCTTTCCCCTCCATTCTCCTCTCAGTATTTGGGCATGCATGCACTTATGGACAATGTGTTATTCAAGCCACTGGGTCTGGGACTTGAACCATGCTGTCAGCCATATGAGATCCAGTGGCCTTAACCACCATGCCACCACTTGACTTCATGTATTCTTTTTTTATTGCACATGATATTCTTGCACTAAAAAATCACATTGCATGCCTACCTTTACTCTGCCCCTCCCCAACCTACACAGATCTCTGAAATTTGATCTTTGCCTTCACAAAAAGTCAGAGCTTTAATGCTTACCTTTACATATCTGTATTCACTTCTTTCTGCTTGGAATTTCTCCCAGTGGTCTATTTGAAATATTTTATCCCTTATCCCTTCATTTACACTTTTAAGACAATATGGTCAGCTCTCTAATGGGTCTTTTTCATTTCTTTGTTTGTTTTAGGTTTTTACTTTGTTTTGTTTTGTTTTTAGGGAGATTTTTTATTATGGAGTGCATGCACTTGCCATAGACACAGAGAGACAGAAAGCTAGCAATCAGCCCCAGGGTAGATGGCCATACTGGAATCCCTTCTCTTCCATTTTCCTCTTGGGATCTTGGGCATGCACACACACAAACCCAATGTGAATTTTAAGGCTGCTGGGTCTGGGTCTCACTCTCCCTTTCTCTCTCTGTCTCTCTCTCTTTTCAAAAACTGAAGAATTAGGAGAAGAAGAAAAGGAGACTTTTTTTAAAAAATTAAAAATAAATAAATCTAAAAAAACCTAAAATAGTAAGAACAATAACAATAAGAAGAAGATCAGTCACTGCCTAGGAGATAGAAGCAGCAGAAATGAAGAGCCTAAGAGAGGAGGCAAGTTGTAGAAAGAACAGGCAGCCAGCCTGGGGCAGGCATGACCTCAGACCAAGGTCACACACTGAAAAGATGCTTTTTTGATCCACTTCACTCATCGCGATATCCTCACATCAGCCCAGCTCCCTGCCCCCGTTTTGTTTTTGTTTTGAGAGGTTTTTGCTATAGGGTGCGTGCATTCACCAGACAGAGAGAGACAGAAAGTGAGAAATCACCCCCCAGGGGGGATGGCCATTCCACAATCCCTTCTCCTCCATTCTCCTCTCGGGATCTTGGGCAAGCATGCACACGCACCTGGCGTGAGTTTAAGCCACCGGGTCCGGGACTCGAACTGCAGTCAGCTACGTGGGAGTCCAGCAACATAGCCATTACATTAACTCTTGGTCCTCCAATTGCTTTTTTTATACCTATTCCATGTGGTCCATATGGGCCATGTTTATTCTTATATGATACAACAGCAGATGAGGCAGGCTATTTACTCACTTTTCTTTGCAGCATCTTTTTTTTTTTTAAATATGTATTTAATTTTATTATTATTATTATTATTATTTAAATTTGTTATAGAGCATGTGTGCTCACCAGAGAGATAGAAAGAGAGAAAGCAAGCCACCAGGTCTGGGACTTGAACCACAGTCAGTGGACTCAAACCACACTCCCCATGTGGGGAGTCCAACGCCTTAACCACCACGCTAAACACTGGCCCTTATATTTATTTTTTGGCTTTGCATTTTGATCTCTAAGGGCAAAGGAAACATTTAAAATTATCTAAAGTTAAAAAGCAGTGGTGAGGGGGACCAGCAG